CCACCTTAGGTGTACGTGGCTGGCGCCTTAGCCGGTTGAGCTATAGGCGCCGAGCCCCAAAAGGCTTTCTTAAAGAAACTATCCTGAATTACTTAAAAGTTATCTACATACTATGAGAAGCTTTAACTCCAAAGGCTGCAAAGTCAAACTGTAAAAACTATGTTTACCTTTTCTGAGGGTCTTCTATATAAATGTAGAGTTTAGTAAAGTAAAAACCAAAGCCTAGTAAGCACTGTGCTCACAGAATATGGGAAGTGAAACTCATCTCAACATTACATGTTGGTGCATCCCTCTCTTCTTAAAGCTGAGAAAACTGAGGCTGAGAGGAGTCCAGTGACTTGCTCAGCCTTATACAGCTGGGCAGCAGCAGAGCTAAGAACTCTGTTCTGTGTCCTGGCAGTGTTTGACCTCCTCGAGCAAGAGAACAGAAGAAAGCTCAGGATGTTCTTAGAGACTGGTTGAGCCCTACTGTGTTATTAAATTTATGAATAGAAACTATCTGGACAGCTCAAAAAAACATCCATTTTGATAACCAAAAGGTTGTTTTCCTCTGAAACTACTTACATACATGATTGATTTGATTCTATGACCTACTTTTGAAACCTAAACTGGCAAGCAGGTATCAGAGAAAGAGTTTGTGACAGGCTAGCCATTTTTAAAAATGAAAATTATTTCCTTGGTCTTGGAGTTTTAAGACAAAATTTAAAAATAATTTTAATTTAGCTACAATTTATAGTCATATCCTTGTGCTTCTATTTTATGTTTGCCCCTAAAGGCCACAAGGCACAAAAGCACTAACCACAATTTAAGACAAACAAGCAAATAAAACAGAAAAGAGATTTTTAAGTATTTACCCAAAGAACGTTAAGTAAATGTATATGATTAAATAATTCACTGCAGTCAGTATTACCTCCATAATTATGTGTGGTTGTTTTTCTGTAAAATATATTAAATTTGGTGGTTTATCTCTCAAAAGAAACATTACTTCAAATAACTATTATCCTAAAAATGAACAAGTATTGACATTATTACATCATTTTTAAAGAGTTAAAAAAAAAAAAAAACTTTTTGTTTCACTAGTCTCTCAACTTCCCCATGTCTGTTAGTTTCTATAAAAACTAAAGCTGGCAGATCTAGGATAGTGATTTCTCTGGGATGAAAACGTGCCAGTGCAAGTAACAGACCAATCTGTAGGCTCAGTTCACAAAACCTAGAGATGCCATTGTTCCTAGAAATAAAAAAGATTTCTTTCATTCAGGGTAGAAAGCTCGTCTTTAAAGCAGTAAAAACTCTGTCCAACAGGAGCACACTGATCAACAGGCATCCTTTCTCCCAGAAAGCCTGTCTCAGAGACATATGAAGGAATCAAGAGAAAATCCAACGGTGCAACTCATTTTCTTTTGTTTTAAACACGTTGTCCACTATTTCTTCACCTACAAAATGCACATCCTGGCTCTTAACTACATTGACACTTTCCAGTTGAAGTCTACCAGATATACAAGTCTGTATTTCCTGATTCCCCAAATAGAAGGTAAGCTCCTTGAGAGAGTGGAAAGTCTGTGTCAATCTTTTGCCCTAACTAGTCACTAGGTTTTCTAGCTCCTAAGCACCACATGCTAAGTATTGCTGACTTCAAAAACTTCTCTAAATTATTTTAGGATAAAGAGGCTTAATATCAGTTAGTAGTTAAGCGTGGATTGTGTATTTTTTTCAAGACACCCGACAAGCAAACATTTCAGTTCACCTTAACACACTTTTAGTGCGTATCCCCAGGCTGTATTTAGACTTGCCTTTAGTACTGTGGTTAGTGCATCAGAAGTACAAGCTAACCTTTGGAAGCATTAAATTTAGTTGATGGAAGTAATTCTAAAATTTCAAGTCCCTTAATTAAACTTTATTTGAGCAGTTGCACACTCAATGCTAGATCTTAGGTCAAGTAGGAAAAGGCAGAACTACACAAGTGTGTGTGTCTTTCATTCTGAGATTCCAGGATTCACTAGTGATTTTTCCTATGCCATTTATTCCACAATTAGAATCCTGAGTTTTCATTCTCAAATGTACATTACTGACTTAGAAATTAAGACATACATACACAAAGAAGAAAAAACTAGATCAAGAGGCCAAACCTAATAATGCCTTGGAGAACAATGTTTGCAGGATATTACTAGATACACGTTTTCTAACTAAACCCAAGGCAGTTCCTATATATATGGTAAACCAGTGAAATGCCATCTTAACCATCCATTTAGGTAATGACCTGCCTTGGTAAAATGGCACTTACAAACATATTTGTCAGCGGAACCTGGAGGATAGCTTGCCTTTTAAGAGCTTCCTGTGAGCCTGGCACAGCTGCATCCTCAATGTGAAGTGTGCCATTGAGATCCACCAAAACAGCCTTTAATGCACGGCGCGCTGCCATCCTTTATGCCCTAGGAGAGAGCAAATGAAATTAAAAATACAGTTTAGGAAACAATGGACAATTAAAAACCGGCAAGTCTTCAAAAATATCATTCATATCCAGAAAGATACTGCCTAGTGTTAAGCTTTTTCCTTTTTGGTAAAAAAAAGTTTTTAAAAAATCACAAATCTAAAATTTGATCTTTTAAACTTTTATAATGCTTAGGGTTTTTTTTTCTGTTTTTTTAAGAAAGAGTCTCACTCTATTGCCCAGGCTAGAGTGCCATGGCATCCATCTAGCTCATAGCAACCTTAAACTCCCAAGTTCAAGCAATCCTCTTGCCTCAGCTTCACAAGTATCTCGGATTACAGGTCCCTTGCCATGACACCTGGTTAATTTTTCTAGTTTTAGTAGAGATAGGTTTTGCTCTTGCTCAGGCTGGTCTTGAATTCTTGGCTTTCAGATATCCTCCCTGTACCTGGTGTTAATTTATTTTTTTTTTAAATCAGGAATTAAAATTATAGGAAAAGAAAATGCTAAAAGAGATGTTATAGGGCCAGGCACAGTGGCTCACACCTGTAATCCTAGCACTCTGAGAGCCTGAGGCAGGTGGACTGCCTGAGCTCACAAGTTCGAGACCAGCCTGAGTCAGAGTGAGACCTCATCTCTAAAAATACCCAGGGGTTGTGGCAGGTGCCTGTATTCCCAGCTCCTTGGGAGGCTGAGGCAAGAGAATCACTAGAGACCAAGAGGTTGCTGTGATCTATGATGCCACAGCACTCTACCGAGGGCTACAAAGTAAGACTCTGTCTCATCCAAATAAAGAGATATTATTTACTCTCAGCTTTCTTAAAGTACTTCTTTGGTGAACAATTCACTCATTCACTTTGTTTTTAAATGTGTAAGTAATGTACTCTGAAGAATGGGTGGATAGAAGCAGTGTACATCATTAGCTAAGTCTTCTTCATCTTTGGTTACGAGTAACAAATACATCCTAATCACCCATATCTGCTGCTGCGTCCTGAAACAGCACATGTGGCCAAGGAGCTACCCGTATTTAAGGTCACTGAGGAGGAAATCTCAAGCTACACAGTAATTGTGTACTAAGGATATAGTTTCCTTACTTTGCAATGTACAACTTTCCTTTTGCATATTCTCCCCTTAAAAACTTCCTATTATAAGCTATAATGTACATGGAATATAAGATATATGTGGTTTAAAAATAATGGGGGTTAGGTCAGAAGAGTAGGAAAGCTAAAAAGGAGATTAGAATTCATTGTAAGTTTTTGTTAAAAAATTAATCCATTAATTCAGTAATTTCTTCTTTCCATTTGTTTTTCTAATGAAATTCTTCAGACATACACAAAGGTATCAAGTATAATACACCATACAAGTACCCCCTTTATCCATCACTCAGCTTCAGAAATGAAACACAGACCAGTTGGAGTCCTCTGTGATTCCCTCTCCCTATGACTCCCCTCCTATCCTTGCTGACTGTGATTATTAAAAGCTTTGTCTTAGGGTGGTGCCTGTAGCTCACTGGGTAGGGCGCCGGCCATGTACATCAAGGCTGGTGGGTTCGAACCCAGCCCGGGGCCAGCTAAAACAACGACAACCACAAAAAAAAAAAAAAATAGCCAGGCATTGTGGCAGGCACCTGTCATCCCAGCTACTTGGGAGGCTGCAAGGGAATCACTAAGCCCAACAGTCTGAGGTTGCTGTGAGCTGTGACACCACGGCATCCTACCAAAGGTGACAAAGTGAGACTCTGTGTTGTACTAATGTATGTTAACATACTCTGCATACACTCAGCAGCTTGCTTTATCACTTCACATTACATTTGTGAGATGTCTCCACATTAACACATTTGTAAATAGTCCATTTATTTTCACGCCTGTATGGTAATCCATTGTGTAAATATGCCATACTATATTTACCTGTCCTAATCACGAACACAGTTTCCTAGTATATATGTTCTCATAAACAAAAGCTTCTCTATGCTTCTACTAAAAATGTGAAGGGCCCAGGTGCAGTGGCTCAGGCCTGTAATTCCAGTACTTTGGAAGGCTGAGGTGGAAGGATAGTTTAAGGTCAGGAGTTCAAAACCAATCTGGGCAATGTAGTGAGACCCTATCTCTGAAAAAAATAAAAAATTAGTTGAGGGTGGTGGCACGTACCTATAGTTTCAGCTAGTTGGGAGGCTGAGACAAGAGGACTGCCTGAGCCCTGGAATTCAGATCTACATAGAGCTGTGATTGTGCCACTACCCTCCAGCTTGGATGACAGAGTAAGACCCCGTCTCAAAAAAAAAAAAAAAAGAAAACAGTGTAAGAGAAAGGATTTGAAGAGAAAGAAAAATAACCTGGAAAATATACATGTGTATATATAAGAGAACAGACCGTAACAACTATTTAAGTAATGAAGGAATTAGAAAATTATCAACTAAAAAGGACCCTCAAGATTATCTGCTCCCACACCATCATCTCTCTATACACACTGGTTTTATACCTTGGCTGGGAAAACCAAGGCCCAAATAATGGCTGCATAGATTCGACTTTCCCTTGAGGATGATGGTACCAGATGAAGAAATTACTAACACAAAGACTTGTTACTAAATTTGCCTTCTAACTTTTTCTAAATAATCAGTGTGCCTGACAAAGTACTCTTTAGTGAAACAGAATTTGTCTCTACTATAAAGAATGTATCAGACATACCACACAAATATTAGATGGACCTTTGACACATTATTTATAACATGACTATTATATCAATGCAAAGAATTATGTTGTTAATAATGTATGAAATTAGACATAAGAAGAAATAAAAATTTAATGAAAAAATTTGAAAGCATATGTTCAAGAAGCTACTTTTCTCTTTTAAAAGGTCACTAAGCATCTTTTAGTAATATTTCCTTACCACAATAAAAACAGACTATTCAGTTAACTGAAGATTGAGAAATATTTATTTCTCTCTCTGAAGATGAGAAATATTTATTTCAAATAACTACTATTGGAAATATTTTGAGATTTTTTCTTTAGGCGTTACCCACAGTGTCAGTGTAAGAGCCAACATGTGAAAATTAGTCTTATTAACTAATGGCTTGATTTTATTTTTTAACCCCAAGTGGCATTACTCTCCTTTACCACCCATCTCATTCAGCAGGCTTTTTCTTACACTTTCAAAATTACATCCATCCTTTAAAAATGAACATTGTAACCAATAAAAATATTCAAAATAGTATCTTATTACTTGTAAAAGAAATTCTAAAATGGGAGTCAAAAATGTCTTGAGCAATGCAGAAGCTTAGAGTCTTCTAGATTGACTACTTTAACAGAGCAAATAAACATTTATTGATTAATAAGCTGTGGTGTGCTTTTTTGGATGTCTCACTATGTCGCCCTTGGTAGAGTGCCATGGCGTTATAGCTCACAGTAACCTCAAACTCTTGGGCTTAACCAATTCTCTTGCCTCGGCCTCCCAAGTAGCTGAGACTACAGGCACCAGCCACAATGCCTGGCTATTTTTTGTTGCAGTTGTCATGGTTGTTCGGCTGGCCTTGGACAGGTTCGAACCCACCAGCCATAGTTTATTAGGCTGCACTATGGGTGCCAAGCCAAGGTATGCTTATTTTTAAGAAATCACTCTTAAACGTGGGCTTCTCTTAGTATAGCAGGCTAAGTAATCAAATTAACTCTCCAAATGAAAACTAACAGTATTAATCTATATCTGTTTCTATATACACATCTCAAGGAGCAAGGAAGAAAAGAATTCTTAGATCTAAATAAAAGCAAGAAACTGAGGAAAAGAGCAAAATATTGCAGCCTGTTTTGACCCCAGAGTATCTGCCATACTATGTGACCTTGAGTTGTTTGGGTATTTTTCTGCCAAGGGCCTCTTCAGGGAATAAAAGAAAAAAACTCGAGCCCAAATGAAGAGAGTGCTCTTCCGACCTAAAAGCTAAGAGTTTACTGTAAGGGTGAGCCAGAAATAAACCTATCCCTGACACTCCCTTTCCACCTTATCTCAGTTGATAATAAGAAAATCAAATGTTTTGAAACCTGGCCTCAAAAGGGTGGGAGGCAGAAAGTTCCACAGAGAATTTGGAACCATAAGCCAGCCCTGAACCCAGCGTGCAGACAAAATTCACATTACCTAAGATAAATCCTCAAGATGGTCATTAAAGTGACCTTGACTAGCATGTGCATGGCTGCAGCAAATATTAATTCAAACCCTTCCCCAGGATTTTAGTTTTCAGCCCAAACAGCAAGAAACCTCACAAAAAAAAATCAAGTAAAATTCTAAGAATAATGAACAAGCAACCTAAGGAAACAAGTCACAGTGCGGAGAACCTTAAGAGACAAGAGACTGCACAAGCAGTCCTATTATCAGAATGCTTGGATGTTTAAAGAATAAAAGACAAGATCAAAAATGTGGGCAGAAAATGTGAAAGACTACCAACGTACAGATTCAGAAAGCCCAGTGAATTTCAAGCCAGATACAAGTAAAAGAAAAGAAATGCACACCTAAACCCTTGCTACATACTATAAAGACAAAAGATTCTGAAAGCAGCCAAGGGAAGACTTTCAAAGGAGCAACAGTTGGACTGATAGTTGACTTCTAATGACAGTCAGAAGACATCAGAACAGAACTGTCAGTGTTCTGAAAGAAAATAATGTCTTCTGGGCAGTGCCTGTGGCTCAAGGAGTAGGGTGCCGGCCCCATATACCAGAGGTGGTGAGTTCAAACCGAGCCCTGGCCAAAAAAAAAAAAAAAAAAAACAGAAAGAAAGAAAATAACATCTTCTTAGAAATATACATGAAAGAAAGCCATTGTGACCAAGGTGAGATTTACCCCAGCAATAACATGGTGTTAAATAACATCAGTCGATTTAGAAATGCAACTCATGTTATTTAACACATTGATAGATTGAGAGTAAAATCATCTAAGATCATGTTAATTCATGCAGAGAAAGTATTTGATAAAATTCAATATCTATTCACAGTAAAATACTCTCAAGCAACATAAGTAGGG